GGCTAAGTTTGCTTATTCAAAAGTTGTCCCTGCAAGGTTTTTTATGTGCATATTTGTTCATATTTTTCAAGACAGTTCAAGTTCATCTGGAATATATTTGAGATGAATGTCACCTTGCCTCTGGTTAGATTTCTTGCTGAATTTGCTCTCTTCCAATCATTCCCTCGGGACTTGCAAAAAAACCCCAAACAAACCAAGAAACAAATCAACGCCCAAATAAAATCAAGGAAAAAGACTGAGCTCTGGTACAATACGTTCTTACACTTTCAGCTTTATGAATTTTATGCCTAACTTATTTAAAATGCTCCACTACAGTAGGAAAATGAGTACAAGTCTGTCTTTTTATCTATCTCAATGCTCTCCCAGGTGAGTTCCAGTTCTGCTCTTCATAAATCACTGTTATATTAGCTTAATGGCGTTCAAAAACCAAATATTTGCTGGTAATTTGTGAAAGATCACTTATATTGTTCAGCAGTATTTGGCATGAGCACACTGAAGTTTGAAATATGTTGGCTGAGCAGGAAATTCAATCAATTCTCCTCCTTAGTAAAGACTTATAAAATTAATTTTAAAATTATGATGCATAGACTAATCAAAGCTTAATTCAAATTTCCTCAAAGGCAAAGTAACAACATTATAGTGGTTGATTAATGAAATAGACTACATTTTAATCTAAGAAATTCCTAATTGTCCTTAGTGCTAAAATAATTATATCAAACAGGAATCAACTAGGTGAGTAGATTTCTTCTAACACAGCTGCAACTATAATTATACAATTAATGACCTCACCAAAATATTTAATCACAAAAGTCATGGTAAATCTGTACGGCACACGTCAGCCAGGCTAATGAGCCCAAGAAGCCCATACTGCTGCACACAGAATCATAGAATGTTTGGAGTTGGAAGGGACCTCAAAAGATCATCTAGTCCAGCCCCCCTTGCCAGAGCAGGATCACCTACAGTAGGTCACACAGGAACGTGTCCAGGCGGGTTTTGAATGTCTCCAGAGAAGGAGACTCCACAACCTCCCTGGGCAGCCTGTGCCAGTGCTCTGGCACCCTCACAGTTAGAAAGTTTTTCCTAATATTTTCGTGGAACCTCCTATGTTCCAGCTTGTATCCATTGCCCCTTGTCCTGTCATTGGACATCACTGAAAAGAGCTTGGCTCCGTCCTCCTGACACTCCCCATTGACATATTTATAAATATTTATGAGGACACCCCTCAGCCTCCTCTTCCCCAAGCTAAAGAGACCCAGCTCCTTCAGCCTTTCCCTCATTAAGAGAGTTCCACTCCCTTAATCATCTTTGTGGCTCTGTGTTGGACTCTTTCAAGCAGTTCCCGGTCCTTCTTGAGCTGAGAGGCCCAGAACTGGGCACTGTGCACTGCTGCCACAAGTTCAAGACAGCTTATTTATGACTAGTTTGTGTACCTCTGTACAGCACCATAGTATGTCACATAATCATACCCTTAGAGAAACAAATGCACTGGAGCAAAAAAAGATACAGATACAGGCTCTACAGCATTCACCAATACAAGTGTATGGTCTATATGAATCATGTAATCCTCATATGACACACCAGTGTCCACACAATGGAATATTCCACAGCTTACAGCACACACATGAGCACAACTGTACTATAAAGACCCCAAATCACACCACTGAATAAAACAGGATACCTGTATCCTGAGAGAACTTTTTTTTTGCTGGCTTCAGAAAATAAATGCTGCCTGTCTTACTTCGGGATAGAAGAGATTTGACCACAGACATACAAAGTTCACACAATCAATCATTATGCAGTAACCTGAAAATCTGGGCTGATCTAATTCTAATTCTAAAGCACCATAAAAACATGGAGCCACGTGTATATCCATGTGCCATATATATCTGCTGCACATGACTCTTACTTCTTTTAATGATACAGAGGCAGTTTTCCCAAACTAAATGTAAGAAAATGCCTGGATGAAGAACAATTACATTTTCCATTTCAATTTCGAAAAAAGTAAGCAAGTTACATAACAACTGGTGATGTATCACATACCTGGACACAATTTGTTAATAATCTTCTGCAAGTACTTTGGAGATAAAACCAAAAATCCATCCTTGAGAAACCTTGCACACTGGCATCAGATTTACACGATGTATTGTACATCCATTTAATAATGCACAAGAACCCCTTCCAAAACTAGCATTTAATGAAACTAAGCATGTTTTCATAACTCACCTACAATCTCTTTAAAAAAACCCCAGATTTACAGCAGATCTAAGTTCTAACATCATAAGTAGAAAGATATCACTGTTTTGAAAGCCCTTTAAAAGAATTATTTGACTTCAAGACATAAGAAAACAGACATGTTGCTGTTTCATACAAAGAGAAATAGAACTAAAGCCACACAATGTTATAATAAGGGACATATTCAGCGCTTGCTGAAAGCATCTGAACTGCTATTTTCCGATATCTATATAGCTGGCACTCAATTCTTCACTGTTTTTTCAGAACTTTCCCCAACAGTTTACACTAAACAGTTTAAACTAAAGCTATTTGTAGTGATGGTCAGATGTGAAAACTACAAATCTCTGTAGTTAGTGCATCTTCCTCTTTTTGCATATAATCTCAATTAAAACAAACATGTCCCCAAAGAATTCTGAAGAAGAGGATGAATTAACAAACTGTTCAGGTGAACTAGAAACAAGCCAATCCCTTATGAATACAGAGTCTGTAATTAGCCAAAATGTCCCATTTTGCTGTTCACAGTGAGGCTGAGGCTCAATAAAAATTAAACACTGATGCAGGCAAGGTATTCCCATGGGGCTCACATATATTAATACATTACCATTCACTAGTTGCTCTATGCCAAAGAAATTGGGACACAGCTTGAAATTGGCTGCCTGCCTATTTAATAAAACGGAAAGCTATTGCTAATAAGTATTTTCTCTTATTTTCATATCCCTAGTGTCACAAATAGGTTAAAAATAGTACTTAAAAGTGGCTCCTAACAGACATATGCTCATAATGGTGCAAAATAGATATAGCTCAGGTTCTGAACGATCAAAGAATGACACTTTATGGATTCTACGTGGTGTCATAGTTATACCTTTGGATCTCCCCAAACGAGTAACCCCCAGCACTTGCTTTCCTGAAACTTCTAAGGCCACCAGGTTCTTAAAAACCATATCTGAATTTAGTTCTTAGCTTGATTATCACACACTCAGCAGTCCACACTTCAGTGATAATCTTTTAAAGCAAAAATGCAGGATAATTTAGGTGGCTACACATCACTACTCTGTAGAAGGCAATTTATAGAAACTTGACTATATAGAATAAAATAGTTTTAACTATGATTATTCTGACTTTAATGGGACAGAGTCAGGAAAAAGCGAGTGTTTACGGAAACCCTCTTTCAAGCTACAGATCAGTAACCCATGAATGTATCAATCCTAAAACTTACCAGGTCACTGAAATCCCTCAGTAACAGAGGAACTCGGCACCTCTCTCACGCCAAGTAAAAATAAATACACCACTATTATAATTTGTCTTACTCTGTCCTTGCAAGGTCATTGCGACTTCCATTTCTGCAGCCAAATCCAGCTTTTCATCAATGGAGTGTGAGGATCATTCAAAGAGAAAATGAATGCACAGTGCCACTGGATGGCTTTAACTCTCATAAACTTCACACATTCTGACCTAGCTTATGCTCACCTTTCGCAGAAGGAAGCAAATACGCTCAATATTTCTCAGCCGCTCTCTCTGTCAAGAAAAAGCAGGAAAAAGGTAGGAGATTAGCTGGTTTTATAAATTAAAGACAATATATTACAATTACAATAGGTCAAGGGCATAATTAATGGCTGCAAGAAAGCAAAACACATTATTAGTATTCACTTCTTACCCACTGCTTGGAAGTGAAATGATTTACCCATTTCAAAGTTCCAGTAAGTTATTTTTTCATTTGTTACTAGGTCTAACAGTATAAACTAGGGATTCAAGCCTGCGTTAGGCTTGATAGTGCCAACTTATACCACAGAGATTTGGTCTTCCATTTCCAGGGACCCAAGCTCTGGCTTCAAGAAAATATTGAATGAGAAAACAAAAAAGTTGGTATGGCAGCCTTTCCTCTATCACTAAGAGGGTGCCCGAGCAACAGGTGGTATTAGAATTTAACCCATTGGTGAAGAACAGCTAAAATGTCATAAAAATACCACTTCAAACAACAGATGCATTTACAAATACTCAAAGTCACTCTGATTAAGCATTGTGACTCAAAACATGCTCTAAGTTTGATTCACAGAATGAAGACAAGTCAAAGATAGGTTCTTTTAAATCACTCATAAAGAGAAATTCACTAGTAAAATCAGGTTTCACTCCACATAAACCCATCACTGGAGTTACTGTGAAAGATTCTACTGCTGGTTACACTGCAGAAGGCAGAGTGGTGGTGTTGTCTTTGGAAGACTATCTGGTAAGAGTTTCATTTAAACACGGGAAAAAATATTCTGAAAAAATGACCTATTTTAAACAGGTAATATAATGTACTCATGTGAGAAGGCAGCTCTCTCTAAACTTTTTGGTTTTCCAAAGTTTTAAATTTGCTCCAAGTTCGAGCTTTATTTTTATTCTCCAATGAAATGCCTCTTTTCCTTTCCTGTCCCCAAGTTAAAGCCATTTTTAAAAAAAGTATCATTTTGGAAAGACAATGAGACAGTGGCAGCCTGACAGGCACCAGATGAATATTGTGCCTCTCCCTGGTGTCCGTGATCTAAAAGAGATTCTGAAATTTTAGACTCATGGCTGCAAGCCTAAGAATGGACATGTGTGGATGTACCTGTGAGTTTGTGGAGTTTCACGCCTTTAGAAAGAGGTAAGTGGAAAGGAAAAGATAATCCTCTCAATTCCTTTTAGAAGGATGCCTAACTGCAGCTGGCCTTGGAGAAGTAGGAAGTCTGTCTTTGAACTGTAGGTAACAGAATGCGAACCAGAAAATTTGAATTAAATTCTCAGTACTGACATTCTGCGATTCAGTAATTATTTTTGCCTTGATTTCTCCTTAACTCAGCCTTCTCTTGCTACAAAAGCACTATCCTCTGTCTATAAAAACATTGTGGAAGATACATGAGTAAACATCAGACATTTTTGTAGTGCAATAAAGAAAACTACCCTATCAAATAAAAGGAATATGGGTGCAAGCAACTATGCATAGGGAAAAAGGAAAATACACTGACCAAAGACATAAGAAATATCTACTAAAATAATATATATGTCAATATAAAAAGGCATTGACATGTACACTGTGCAGAAGAAAGCAGTCTGAGATTATTGGTTATCATGGAAAGTTTCACAGAAGAGAGTCAGATATGCCACAGAATACTTTGTTGTGTTTTACTGTAAATTCTGTGATTAACTTTTGGATTACACCATTACTATGATTCAAATAGGAACTTATTAACTTTTTTTTATCCTGAAGAGTAATTCCATTACCATTTTAAAAAGAGGAAATTATCTGCATGGAGCATCCTACAAGTTTTAGGAAGAGAACAAATTACTGGAATGTGGTACATATAAATACATGTTTCTTATGTGCAATCCTCAGGATAGAAAGTAAAAATAGATAAGGTGAATTCAAAATCAGATTACTTCCAGTAAATTCAAAACGAGACTGCTTCCATTTAAGTCCTCTATCGGATTTCTTCATATAATTTCTTTCTTCTGTTCTCATCCTTTACTGTGTTAGTGAACAGTAAACAACTCTTCCTACTCGAAGATTCGCATAAAGATTATGCTCGAAATCATCAGCGGTCTAAGTAGCACCCCAAATCCTCTGCTGAGTTATGAAACAAGGTTAAATGGCAAAGTACTAGCTACTCATTTGTAGGCAATTCAATCCACTGATATTCTTAAGAGCTCAAACTCAGCACCCGTCATAAACATTGCAGTTCCCAGTGGGATGACAGGGAGCCAAGTTCTGGTCTCAGTTCTGGGGGTACAAATCTGATGCATGTTCAAGTGTGGTCAGCTAAATCACCCTGGATTACAGCTTTAATTAACAGAGGAATTTTCATATGCTCTAAATCTGGGTTGCATTTTGGTTCATTAAGTAAAACCGAGTTTACAGTCCCAGGGGGCTATTTAACCTTTTCCATAGCAGATACAGCAGAATGTGTTATTTACTCTTAAAACATAGGAGAATTTAAAGCCCTGCCGTGGGACAGAGAGGTCTAGGAATGCACCTTTTATCAAATCCCTTCATCCTTTTGATGCATTGATACAGACGGTATGGGAGAAGGCGGTCAACCCATGCTCGAATGCAGAGAAAGCAAATGATTTCATAAAGGAAAACTTGTGCCTCAGAATTAAAAGATAAAAAGAAAGCATTAGCATCACATTATATATACTTCAGTTTTTGAACTTCCCAATTATTTTTCTGCCTCCTTCAGCACAAAAGGAAAGCTATTAGCATAAAGAGTCACCATCTGGCTTCCTAAGACTGGCCCAAGAAAAAAATTTCCCAAACTACAGCGGACTTCACAACAGACTCTACATTCATTTCCACACTCATACTTTCACTGACAGCTCAGTGCATCTCCCTTTCTTTAGCAGCTGTCGCTTCACAAGCCACTGGGTGTACTCACTGCGTGCGCTGGGTTGCACTGATCTATTGGACTTTTGAAGTCTGTCCGAAGTTCATCGAAGGCGATTATCTGAAAAACAATTTTTTCAAATATTGTAACGAATGCTCATTCAAACATTTGGGTTTTTTTTACTTCTTCTTGGTTTTTTTTTAATTTTTTTTCACTTGTTTTTCTTTAGGGATTAGTCAGATGTATCACCTCCCTTCTCCATTTCCAGAGAAAATTTGGGAAACTAGCTTTCTTGACACACTCCTGTGGGAAGTAACTAATTAAAATGGAGTAGGGGATACTCCTACATATGACACCTAGAATGCATTAATTTGTCACTCTGTAAAATCATATCTAGAGCCTTTTTGGCATTGTTGCTTTCTAGATTTCTTCCCTCATATTGGCTAGAGTTCTTAATTCAAACTTCCAAATGATATAAAATTATTTCACAAGCAAATATATTCCCAGACTTGACGGGAAAAGTCATTAGCTGCCTCGAATCTTAATGTGCGTGATCTCATAGTTTCTTCTGATAGAGAGAGTGAAGTCTCCAGAGTTGTTCTTGCTGGGACAAGCCAGAAAGCTGCCATGGACACCCCTGGTCAGGGGCAGCATCTCTGCCTCAATTTCACTGATGTTGGGATGAAACCACCTGCAGGAGGTCACGGCTCAGCCAAAAGCTCCTCGCACCAGTCCCAGCTCTGCGTTCCAACTACCAGCCCCACGCTGCCATGCCCTGGCAGGACGCCCGGGCCACGAAAAACACAGAGACGCAACAGATATGGTATTCTAGGTTTAATACATACACTACAGCAACATTTTATTAGTTGTTAAACCTACTTCAGATATTAATTCTGAATTAGTATCAGCCTAATTATTATTATTATTATGAAGCTGCTATTCATTGCCACGCAAATCCTTCAAAAGGCAAACCACTCTCCAGCAAAACATGCCCCTCCCAAATTCCAGCAGGCTTTAAGACCTTACTTCAGAATTCATTAATTTAGAGGTGTCTTTTGCTCATGTCCTTTAAATCATCCATTAACTGATGGATTGAGACACACTGGTAATTCGTGCCTGCTTTTAAAGCACAGCAGATAAAAGTGCCCACAAAACCAATAATGTTTGATAATGTTTTCTTGAAAATAAAACTCCTGCAATAATCCCCAGAATATTCCATTCAAAGATCTCAAAGCACGTTCTTTATTTTATTTTTGTACTCTAGTAATACTCTTTCTTCTGCTTGCTTCACCCAAGGAATGAAAGTTTACAATGACAGGCACCACATAAATAGATGTTAAAACAATAATTCCTTTTCAGACGATTTACAACCCAGGAAAGTATTTGTTCTCAATAAAGAGATGACGAAAGTACAATGTAACAGTTGAATAATTACTATATGAGTGCAACAACCATTCTATGACATGTTAGAGCATGCCTGCTGCCTAGATGTCAAAAAATAACCAACTGGGTGCCAACACAGATCTGCTGTATAGGTAAAACAAATTCATTTTACAGATATGGACTGCAAGAGCAGGAAATGGCCTATCTATGATTTATATAATAATCTGGTGAGAGGCTTGAGAATAAAACCCAGAGCTACAATCCACAAATCTAAGCACTATTCCACATCCCACTCTAACATTGCATTCATCACACTGAAGCATATTGAAAATCAAAAGTGTGGCATTTTAAAAGAGCACTCCACAGAATTCAATTTATTCAACTATGACAAGTCAAAGTGCCAGAATAAACCACAAAGGGAACTATAAAACGTGATTATAAATGAAGCATTTCTCCTCATGGATGTACTATCTCTACAAATCTAAGCACTATTCCACATCCCACTCTAACATTGCATTCATCACACTGAAGCATATTGAAAATCAAAAGTGTGGCATTTTAAAAGAGCACTCCACAGAATTCAATTTATTCAACTATGACAAGTCAAAGTGCCAGAATAAACCACAAAGCGTGATTATAAATGAAGCATTTCTCCCCATGGATGTAATATCTCTACAAGTTAGGAATTAGAGCTGCAGCGGATGTTCACACTAAGGTAAAAGAACAAATAAGAGAAACCTTGAGAGGATCAGAGTCCAATTGTGAAGAGTAAGGCTCACGGCACCTCTGTATTTAATGCTTCTTGAACAGGTCTTCATATTCTCAAGCTGGGCCAACTATTAAGAGGGTAACAACCACGCAAGTCAGACACACGCTTCTGTTTGTAACTGGGTGCCAACATGGGCATCGACAGCAAGGGGGAAGGCTGGCCCTGTACTGGTAAGAGAGCTGCCTCTATTCACAGCTGTGCCGCTGATTTCCTTTGGGATCTCATGCATCTCCCTGAAAAATCTCTTTGCCTCCCTGCACTGCCGCTTACAGACATAGCTTTAAAAGAAAATGCTACAAGCTTCAAGTGCCAACTGTTTTTAATGATGTACAGTGGTAATAGCTTTTTTCCTGTTGTAAATGTAAAGATGAACTGAAATTTCCTTGGGGGGAGAAAGAAAAAATTTTAAAAAAATAATTAAAAAAAAAAAGAATAAGAATGAATGTATTGTGCTCTTCCTTTTGGTCGTCCGAAACAGCAACCAGGAGGCTCAAGATAATCATTAAATGACAGCCAGTACAAGATCCAGCTCAGGTGGTGAGGAAAGACTGGTCTGACACAACAACACAGGGAACTCAAACACTAGACCCAGAGGATGGATCTCATTCAAGAAGTCCAGAAAAGCCTCTAAAGATTCACTGAACACAGAGATAGGATGATAACGTTGAAGAGTGTTTAAATGAAGAACTGTGCTGCTCTGAACCATTAACCAGAACTATTAAGACAGGGCTCTCTTGAGGTAGCCTTAATTAATGCAGCTAAGTCTTGAAAAAATCCTAAATGACAGTTTGGAAAAGAGATCAGCCTCTAATATATTACACATTAGATTTCCTCATTTTTTGCTTTCTTTCCGCCCCCCTCTCCCTCCACTAGCATTCCGGTCTCTGTAGTCAAAAACCTACTCTTTATTTGCTGGCATGCCATTTATTTCATGTTATGCTTGCATTGTATCTAAGTGTATTGAAATAAATCTGACAGTATTAAGCACACAGTTTTCATGGAACCAGTAAGTGTAATTTCAATACTCTCAAAACCAAACCTTTTGTGATGCCTGCAAATTTGGACAATAAGAGACATTCTTGCTACACCTGCAAGAAATAGACTGAGGTCTGGTATCAAGCACATCGGATTAGAGGAAAGTTTCTCCATTAAAAGTTTCGGTGTTTCTGTGGAAGGAGACTGGCAGAAATAAAATATTAAGAGTTGAGGAGGATTTATTTCATAAAAGTTTCATAATGGTTTATATTTTGTCAGACCTACAAGAACAGAAATCCAGTGAAGACATGAGAATATCTGTTTTAATTTATGAAAAAGTACATTTCTATTTTTCAGTTACAGTGGAAGTGTAGCATTAGGCTTGAACATTACACTTCAAAGTGTAACATTAGGCAGGCTTACAATTAGAAGGAATATAAAGAAACTCCCAAAGTTTTACAGGAGTTGGTTTTCTTGTGGTTTTGTGGTTTGGGTTTTTATTTAATCTCACAATATTATCTGTTCTAATTCTAAAACAACAATTCATAAACAATGGAAACAAAGCTGTAGCTTCTTAAGATTGGTGGTTGCTCACAATACACTACGCAACTGTGCAACAAATTATATTGCATCACTAAAAATAAGGCTAAGTTGTGTTGCGGCATGGTTTATATGATTAATTAGGAGGCATCTTTCAATTACGACTACCCTTTTGCAGCAGTTTAATGCCCTAGGGCATTCTGTGGCCAGGATTGCC